TCGCCAGGTGGCGCGCAACCTGCATTACGACGCCATCGGCCTGCCGCCGCTGCTGGCGGCCCTCGCCTACGACCCAAAAGACGGGTGCGCGCGCACACGCGTGCACACACGGGCGTGCGTGAGAGAGAGACAGAGAGAGAGAGAGAGAGAGAGAGAGAGAGAGAGAGAGAGAGAGAGAGAGAGAGAGAGAGAGAGACACAGAAAGAGAGAGCTACCCTGAATCCTAAAGCGTAAACCCTAAACTGACTGATTCACGTTTTTCGCCGGCGCCCGCGGCCGCCGCGACGCAGGGAGGTGGTCGAGGGGGGGCTCAAGGCGTCGGCGGCGCTGCGCGAGCGGCGCTCGAGGGCGCTGCGTCAGGGGGCGGAGCAGTTGAGGCTGGTTCACGCTGAGGGGGTCGCCGCGGAGGTGTGTTTGTGTGTGCGTGTGTGGGTGTGGGTGGGTGTGTGTGCGTGCGTGCGCGGGGGCGTGTGTGCGCGTGTGCGTGCGTGCGCGCGTGCGCGCGCACGTGTGTGTATGTGTGTGTGCGTGCGTATGTGTGCACGTGCCCGTGCGTGCGCGCGTGTGCGCGCGCGCGTGTGTGTGTGTGTGTGTGTGTGTATGTGTGCGCGCATACAAATTTGGACGCATGCATGCATGTGTCGCTCCATATGCACGGGGTGGTGAACAAAAATGGGGTTGGGGCCCAAGGCGGCCTGAGGGGCGGTACAGACAGATTGAAATTCTTGCGTTCAGAATGCCCTGAGCAGCCCAGCTCGGCTGACAGCTTTGCAGGCCTGCCGACCTCTGTCCGTATGTGCGTGTGCCGCATGTGCGCATGTTTTTTGCCGAGTCGAGTCGCATGGGTTGCGCATGGCATGCACTTGAAAGGCGCTGTCCAGGGCAGGAATGGAGGAGTCCGGGCGACCAAGGCGCCCGCCCTCGCCCCCGCCCCTCCCGCGCCCCAAGCTCCCCCAAACCTCCTACTCCTCACGCCCACTGGAGACCCCAGCTCCACCGTTCTACCCCCTCCCCCCACTGCTGCCAACCAGGCGCTGCTGTCATGCGATGATGGCGGCCACGGGTTCTCAACGCGGGTCTGCCCCTGTGGCTTCTGCCAGCAGGAACCCAGCTGGGCCCCGCCCACCAAATCGCAGCTCTCCGCGCTCCTGAAGGTGCGATCTGACCAGACCTGACAAGATCCCGGGCCAGATCTGGTCGCGGTGGAGCGGACCGCGCGGCACACGCAGGCTCGCGGCTGCGGGCGGGGCCGAGGGGCACGCGGCGCCGCACAGAGGGGGCGGGCGCCCCGTGCGGGGCCAAGCGTTCCGCTTCACCCGCGCCCACCCCCGTCCCCGCCATGCACAGAGTGGTGCGCGCGCGCGTAGTACCATCGCCCCCCATCCCTCCCACGCCACCGTTTGCCCGGCCCCACGCCGCGCGACCCCCGACGGCGACGGTCCCCTAGAAATTCCCGCCTCTCCGCCCCCCCGCCTTCCCCTCCCCAACTACCCCAGCTCTCCTGCCTGGCCACCCACGACCTCGACGCCTTTGACCCTTCAGCTCCCGGTCGCGACCAGATCGTGCCCCTCACCCCCGCCCACGCGCGCGGCGGGCTGGCGCGGCTGGCGGAGCTCCTGGCCGACGCGGGGGACGCGCTGGCGGCGCCAGATGCTACAGGGCTGGCTGATGGCTGGCTGCCGGCAGAGGCGCTCGAGGGGGCGCGCGGCCTGGTGGCGGCGGCAATGCGGCGCGATGGCGGCGGCGGCGGCGGCGGCGGCGGCGGCGGCGGCGGATTAGAGCCGCCGGGCGGGCGGGAGCGGTGGCGGCGGCGGCGGCATCTGGACGAGAGGAGGTGGAGCGCCGATTTGGCGGCGGGGGCGCGGATGGCGCTGGTGGGGCTGTGGGTGCTGGAATTGGAGGAGGCTGGCGGGGATTGGGGTAGCCTGGAGGATAGGTGAGTGTGTGTTGTGTGTGTGTGTGTGAGTGTGTGTGTTGTGTGAGTGTGTGTG